TGTAGAAGAGTAGAGTAGAGTAGAGTAGAGTAGAGTAGAGTAGAGTAGAGTAGAGTAGAGTAGAGTAGAGTGGGTAGAGTAGAGTGAAGTAGAGTGGATTAGAGTACAAAAGAGTAGAGTAGAGTGTCGTATAGTGTCATAGAGTAGAGCATAGTAAAGTAAGGTGTCATAGAGTAGAGTTTTGTAGAGTGTCGTAGACTGTCGTAGAGTGTCAAAGAGTATAGAAGAGCGTCATAGACTGTTGTAGAGAAAAGTAGAGTAGAGTAGAAAACAATGTCTTACAGTAGAGCAGAGTAGAGTAGGGTAGAGTGTCATAAAGTGTCACAGAGTATAGTAGAGTAGATTGTCATAGTGTAGAGTATAATATCATAGAGTAGAGTGTCGTAGAGTCAAGTGTCGTAAAGTATAGTAGAGTAGAGTGTTGTAGAGTAGAATAGAGCATCATAGAGTAGAGTAGAGTGTCGTAGAGTAGAGTAAAGTCGATTGTCATAGAGTGTCGTAGATTGTCGTAGAGTAGAGTAGAGTCGATTGTCATAGAGTGCCGTAGATTGTCGTAGAGTAGAGTAGAGTCGATTGTCATACAGTGTAGTAGATTGCCATGGAGTGTCGTAGAGTAGAGTAGAGAAGAGTGTCATAGAGTGTCTTAGAGTACAGTAGAGTGTAGTATAGTAGAGAAGAGTAGTGTAGAATGGGTAGAGTAGAGAAGGGTAGAGTTGAGTAGAGTAAAGTGGAGTAGAGTAGACTAGAGTGTCATAAAGTGTTGTAGAGTAGAGTAAAGTGGAGTAGAGTAGACTAGAGTGTCATAAAGTGTTGTAGAGTAGAGTAGAGTAGAGTAGAGTGTCGTAGAGTAGAGCAGAGTGTCGTAGAGTAGAGTGAAGTAGAGTAGAGTAGAGTCGCGTAGAGCGTCGTAGAGTAGACTAGAGTGTCGTAGAGTAGAGTAGAGTTTTGTAGAGTTTTGTAGAGTGTCATAGAGTAAAGTAGAGTGTTGTAGAGTGTCGTAAAGTGGTGTAGAGTGTCATAGAGTAGAGTAGAGTACAGTGTCGTAGAGTGTCGTAGCATAGAGTGGAGTAGATTGTCGTAGAGTTTCATATATTAGAGTGTCGTAGAGTGTCATAGAGTGTCGTAGAGTAGAGTAGAATGGAGTGGAGTAAAGTAAAGTGTCGTAGAGTGTCGTAGATTATAGTAGAGTGTCGTAGAGTGTCGTAGATTATAGTAGAGTGCCGTAGAGTGTCATGGAGTAGAGTAGAGTAGAGTACAG